TCCAACATGATCATTATCACCCTTTACAATCAACACTCTTTATCATCAACTCCACCATATTAGGTGCTCCTTTTTTTCGTTTTTTGTTGAGAACCAAATTCAAAGACAAAATATAATCAGATATGAAATATAATTACATAATAAAATTTTTTTACCTCATTCTAGTCACAAATATTTCTGGAGATTCATTGTTTTCATCATATTATGTTCAAAATTATTGATTTAGTTATGAAATTTGTAATGTACTTACTAAACTTGATGTGGAAATTCAACTCCATTCTTTCTTCTTCTTGTTTTTTTGTAAATACTTCATTCCCTCATTTAATAAGAGATTGGGAGAGGATATATAATTCTAAATATAAAAAGTGTTAGTATTTTTTAATAAAGGTGATATAGGCTTTTGTATTTTTTAGTTAGGTGGTATTTTAGGAATTTGAATTTGGGACCTCCAGATTCAAGACCAATGGTACTACCACTGGGACCAAATCCTTGTTCGAGAAAAAAATAGAATGCTAGTAATTGATTGGGAAGTATCAACTATTTGAGTTGGAATCCTAAATATGAAAAATGCTAATAATTGAAATCCAATATTTAGAAGAGAAATATAAGCTTTAGTGAGGATAATTCAATTGACTATATATGAAGAATGCGAGAGAAGAGGTGATTATCACCTAACAACTATAGTGTTTGATGTTGCTAGTCAATTTTGACAGAAGAATTCATTCAAGTCTTCTTTAAATTTTCATGGACACGTTCTAGATTAGGATATGTCCTTTGGTTAGATAAAAGTGAAAAGTTAAATATTTTTTCGCCTTAGTAATATGCTACAATGAAATAAAAGAATGTAAAAAATATATAATTTATCAATATACTTCTTGCTAGTAATTTTAATTATTATCTTTAACTTATTATTTCAAACAAAATATATACTATCATGATGATTAATTCATTGAAAATAAGGGATGAAAGTTCATGTCGGTCCCACTACCAACACCACCGGCGATGACAATGACGACGGCGATGGGCGACGCTGTTTGACAATGGCGACGAAAGTGAGGCGATCTTTTATCTTCCATGTCAATTTCTGTGTGGTTTACGTTTTATTCTGGTTTGGGAAGTTTGAACTGACTACTGAGTTTTTCTTTGATTTTTTCGGTTTATTGGCGGACGGGGGAGGAAGCGAAGGCCATGGCCGTCTCAGTTCTCAACGTATTCGGTAACAGTGACTTTTGGCCGGATGTATGTCCAACGACAGACTTCCTGGTAAGTGAATCTCATAACTTAGGTAGGAATCTGAGATTTGGGTGAGTTATGGATTGTTCAGATTTAGTTGAATTGCTAGATCTATCCTCTAATCATAACTTAGGTAGGAATCTGAGATTTGGGTGAGTTATGGATTGTTCAGATTTAGTTGAATTGCTAGATCTATCCTCTAACCAACTGAATGGTTTTGGATTCATGTATGATTTCGTTTGAGAAGTTACAGGGAAAAACGAGTTTGAATGATAATGGTGTTTGCCGACTATTGTTTTTGATTGATAATGTTTTGAATGATTCAAATGGATGGTTGTCAATTGGGGGGTTTTCGGGTTCTGTTCTTGGTTACTCTATTTTTTGTGCCGGCTTTGGGGGTTACTGGGTTAGGGTTTTGAATTGCGGGACGCGTCGCGTTTCTTATTTTTTTGTGCCGGGTTTGGATTCATGCCAATGAGTTCGTTTGAGAAGGAAAGGGTAAAAACTAAAAAAGGAGTTTGAATGATAATGGTTTTTGTTGATTGATAATGTTTGAATAATTCTATAAATATTATTGCTGTAATTTCCTCCATAGATTTAGATTGCTGGATTGTGGATTGGGGTTTTAGTGCTGTTCGCCCTAGGGTTAGTATTTTTTGGTTCAGGTACGGTTAGGTTTTCTTGTGTTTTAGCCCCTGTTCCGCAGGGTTTGCTTGTGTTTTGGGCCAGGTTCTCTTCTAGGTTTGTATTTTTTCGGCCTGGTTCGCGTCTCGGCTTGTTTTTTTTGGGCCGGGTATGCTACTGTGCTTGTATTTTCTTGATCTTGGTCCGGTTCATGGTTTGGGCTTGTATTTGTTTTGGTTCTGGTTTGGGTATGGGGTATTATTTATTTTGGGCCGGGTTGTGGACTGGGCTTATATTTTTTTGTTTTCATTCGTGTTTAGGTTTGTATTTTTAGGCCCAGCTCGGGTCTGATCGGTATTTTTCTAGCCGGTCCGTGCCTCGGTTAGTTGGAATCGTGTGACCGAGAGGAATGCCATAGAGTTGAAATTTGCAAGAAAAAAAGGTCTCTAAAGAAATTTCTTTTTTTCACAAAATAAGCTTGTGGGCTCACGAAAAGTTCGGTTTAAAGTGCAATTTCTCATTGCACCGATGGCCAATGAGGGGAAGGGAGGTTGCGTTAGAATCGTGTGACCGAGAGGAAAGCCATAGAGTTGGAATTTGCAAGAAAAAAGGTCTCTAAATAAATTTAATTTTTTCACCAAATAGGCTTGTGGGCTCACGAAAAGTTCGCTTTAAAGTGAAATATCTCATTGCACCGATGGTCAATGAGTGGAAGAGAGGTTGCGTTGGAATCGTATGACCAAGAAGAACGCCATAGAGTTGGAATTTTAAAGAAAAAAGGTCTCTAAAGAAATTTCATTTTTTTCACCAAATAGGCTTGTGGGCTCACGAAAAGTTCGGTTTAAAGTGAAATATCTCATTGCACCGAGGGTCAATGAGTGGAAGGGAGGTTGCTTTGGAATCGTATGACCAAAAAGAACGCCATAGAGTAGGATTTTGCAAGACAAAAAAGTATCTAAAGAAATTTCATTTTTTCACCAAATAGGCTTGTGGGCTCACGAAAAGTTCGGTTTAAAGTGAAATATCTCATTGCACCGATGGTCAATGAGTGGAAGGGAGGTTGCGTTGGAATCGTGTGACCGAGAGGAACGCCACAGAGTTGGAATTTGCAAGAAAAAGGTCTCTAAAGAAATTTCATTTTTTCACCAAATATGCTTGTGGGCTCACGAAAAGTTCGGTTTAAAGTGAAATATCTCATTGTACCGATGGTCAATGAATGGAAGGGAGGTTTCGTTGGAATCATATGACCGGGAGGAACGCCATAGACTTGGAATTTGCATGAAAAAAGGTCTCTAAAGAAATTTCATTTTTTCACCAAATAGACTTGTGGGCTCACGAAAAGTTCGGTTTAAAGTGCAATTTCTCATTGCACCGATGGCCAATGACGGGAAGGGAGGTTGCGATGGAATCGTGTGACCGAGAGGAACGTGATAGAGTTGGAATTTGCAAGAAAAAAGGTCTCTAAAAAATTTCATTTTTTCACCAAATAGGCTTGTGGGCTCACGAAAAGTTCGGTTTAAAGTGCAATTTCTCATTGAACCGATGGTCAATGAGTTGAAGGAAGGTTGCGTTGGAATCATATGACCAAGAAGAACGCCATAGAGTGGGAATTTGCAAGTAAAAAGGTCTCTAAAGAAATTTCATATTTTCACCAAATAGGCTTGTGGGCTCACGAAAAGTTCGGTTTAAAGTGCAATTTCTCATTGCACCGATGGCCAATGAGGGGAAGGGAGGTTGCGTTGGAATCGTGTGACCGAGAGGAACGCCATAGAGTTGGAATTTGCAAGAAAAAGGTCTCTAAAGAAATTTCATTTTTTCACCAAATATGCTTGTGGGCTCACGAAATGTTCGGTTTAAAGTGAAATATCTCATTGTACCGATGATCAATGAGTGGAAGGGAGGTTTCGTTGGAAACATTTGACCGGGAGGAACGCCATAGAGTTGGAATTTGCATGAAAAAAGGTCTCTAAAGAAATTTCATATTTTCACCAAATAGGCTTGTGGGCTCACGAAAAGTTCGGTTTAAAGTGCAATTTCTCATTGCACCGATGGCCAATGAGGGGAAGGGAGGTTGCGATGGAATCGTGTGACCGAGAGGAACGTCATAGAGTTGGAATTTGCAAGAAAAAAGGTCTCTAAAGAAATTTCATTTTTTCACCAAATATGCTTGTGGGCTCACGAAAAGTTCGGTTTAAAGTGAAATATCTCATTGTACCGATGGTCAATGAGTGGAAGGGAGGTTTCGTTGGAATCATATGACCGTGAGGAACGCCATAGCGTTGGAATTTGCATGAAAAAAGGCCTCTAAAGAAATTTCATTTTTCACCAAATAGGCTTGTGGGCTCACGAAAAGTTCGGTTTAAAGTGCAATTTCTCATTGCACCGATGGCCAATGAGGGGAAGGGAGGTTGCGATGGAATCGTGTGACCGAGAGGAACGTCATAGAGTTGGAATTTGCAAGAAAAAAGGTCTCTAAAGAAATTTAATTTTTTCACCAAATAGGCTTGTGGGCTCACGAAAAGTTCGGTTTAAAGTGCAATTTCTCATTGAACCGATGGCCAATGAGGAGAAGGGAGGTTGCTTTGGAATCGTGTGACCGTGAGGAACCCCATAGAGTTGGACTTTGCAAGAAAAAATGTCTCTAAAAAAATTTCATTTTTTCACCAAATAGGCTTGTGGGCTCACGAAAAGTTCGGTTTAAAGTGCAATTTCTCATTGAACATATGGTCAATGAGTTTTAGGAAGGTTGCGTTGGAATCATATGACCGAGAAGAACGCTATAGAGTTAGAATTTGCAAGAAAAAAAGGTCTCTAAAGAAATTTCATTTTTTCACCAAATAGGCTTGTGGGCTCACGAAAAGTTCGGTTTAAAGTGCAATTTCTCATTGCACCGATGGCCAATGAGGGGAAGGGAGGTTGCGTTGGAATCGTGTGACCAAGAGGAACGCCATAGAGTTGGAATTTGCAAGAAAAAGGTCTCTAAACAAAAATCATTTTTTCACCAATTATGCTTGTGGGCTCACGAAAAGTTTGGTTTAAAGTGAAATATCTCATTGTACCAATGGTCAATGAGTGGAAGGGAGGTTTCGTTGGAATCATATGACCGTGAGGAACGCCATAGAGTTGGAATTTGCATGAAAAAGGCCTCTAAAGAAATTTCATTTTTCACCAAATAGGCTTGTGGGCTCAAGAAAAGTTCGGTTTAAAGTGCAATTTCTCATTGCACCGATGGCCAATGAGGGGAAGGGAGGTTGCGATGGAATCGTGTGACCGAGAGGAACGTCATAGAGTTGGAATTTGCAAGAAAAAAGGTCTCTAAAGAAATTTCATTTTTTCACCAAATAGGCTTGTGGGCTCACGAAAAGTTCGGTTTAAAGTGCAATTTCTCATTGTACCGATGGCCAATGAGGAGAAGGGAGGTTGCTTTGGAATCGTGTGACCGTGAGGAACCCCATAGAGTTGGACTTTGCAAGAAAAAATGTCTCTAAAGAAATTTCATTTTTTCACCGAATAGGCTTGTGGGCTCACGAAAAGTTCGGTTTAAAGTGAAATATCTCATTGCACCGATGGTCAATGAGTGGAAGGGAGGTTGGGTTGGAATTATATGACCGAGAAGAACGCCATAGAGTTGGAATTTGCAAGAAAAAAGGTCTCTAAAGAAATTTCATTTTTTCACTAAATAGGCTCGTGGGCTTGCGAAAAGTTCGGTTTAAAGTGCAATTTCTCATTGCACCGATGGCCAATGAGGGGAAGGGAGGTTGTGTTGGAATCGTGTGACCTAGAGGAACTCCATAGAGTTGGAATTTGCAAGAAAAAAGGTTTCTAAAGAAATTTCATTTTTTCACCAAATAGGCTTGTGGCCTCACGAAAAGTTCGGTTTAAAGTAAAATATCTTATTGCACCGATGGTCAATGAGTGGAAGGGAGGTTGCGTTGGAATCGTATTACCAAGAAGAACGCCATAGAGTTGGAATTTGCAAGAAAAAAGGTCTCTAAAGAAATTTCATTTTTTCACCAAATAGACTTGTGGACTCACGAAAAGTTCGGTTTAAAGTGAAATATCTCATTGTACCGATGGTCAATGAGTGGAAGGGAGGTTGCGTTGGAATCATATGACCGGGAGGAACGCCATAGAGTTGGAATTTGCATGAAAAAAGGTCTCTAAAGAAAGTTTATTTTTTCACCAAATACGCTTGTGGGCTCACGAAAAGTTCGGTTTAAAGTGAAATATCTCATTGTACCGGTGTTCAATGACTCGAAGGGAGGTTGCGTTGGAATCGTGTGACCGAGAGGAACGCCATATAGTTGGAATTTGCAAGAAAAAAGGTCTCTAAAGAAATTTCATTTTTTTCATCAAATAGGCTTGTGGGCTCACGAAAAGTTCGATTTAAAGTACAATTTCTCATTGCACCGATGGCCAATGAGGGGAAGGGAGGTTGCGCTGGAATCGTGTGACCGAGAGGAACGTCATAGAGTTGGAATTTGCAAGAAAAAAGGTCTTTAAAGAAATTTAATTTTTTCACAATATAAGCTTGTGGGCTCACGAAAAGTTCGGTTTAAAGTGCAATTTCTCATTGCAACGATGGCCTATGAGGGGAAGGGAGGTTGGGTTGGAATCGTGTGACCGAGAGGAACGCCATAGAGTTGGAATTTGCAAGAAAAAAGGTCTCTAAAGAAATTTCATTTTTTCACCAAATATGCTTGTGGGCTCACGAAAAGATCGCTTTAAAGTGAAATATCTCGTTGCTCCGATGGTCAATGAGTGGAAGGGAGTTTCTAAAGAAATTTCATTTTTTCACCAAATAGGCTTGTGGGCTCACCAGAAGTTCGGTTTAAAGTGCAATTTCTCAATGAACCGATGGCCAATGAGGAGAAGGGAGGTTGCTTCGTAATCCTTCTTCGTCGTGAACGCCGTCTGGTTTCCCATCACCAAATAACAAAACCAATAAATGTATATCCATACATTCATTAAATATGCAAAAACAAATTACACGACGAGGTAAACCCAGGCAGTTAGTTAATTAGGTCGTTGTTACCTTGTTCTCTAGCATGTTGGTCCAGGCCTTCCCACTCAAGATGTAACGGATGGCGAACTTCATTATGTCCAGCGGGAAATAGAACACAATGCTGTATAGCCACACCACGCCGGCCCATCCCCACCCTATTCCCTTAATCCTCGCGAAACTCCAGTTTGCATACACTGCCAGCACAGTTGCGACCTGCAAAGGCCGGGAAACAAACAGCAATAGTATTATTTACATATGTGTAACTATCAACTGTCATTTGGCAATGTGACAGGTGTTCACTCTAAATCTCAGAATCCCAAAGACTGACGGACTTACCAGTTGGGCAAGGGCGAAAGCGATCATCAGGAGCCAACCAGGGCGTTCGACAAACGACCAGCTGCGTGACCTGGTTACGAAGATCAGTGCCTTGCTCACTATACTGACTTGAAGATACAGCGCACTCATCATCTCATGTTCGCTGTCCCTGATCGACTTCACTCCAAATTTGTCATGCATTGTCCAATTTAATGCATTCTTGTGAATTCTGTTTGTACCGAAAGTTCAGATGACAATCTGATGTATATAACAATTCTCATGTCTTACGGAGAAGAAATCCGTTTTATGCATCGCCCAGAAGAATATGACAGTCATCAATGCCATGTAGCCACCTAGCACCACTCCCGTTGCAAAGATTTCCTTCAACTTCCAGCTATCCGGCAGAGGGGATGGCTTCACTCTGTCCTTAGAGATTGTCATTATCGTACCTGCACGTGTACAAAGGCAAAAATTATTTCTTTGTCAATTAGATTATGGTACTGCAGCACTACTCAGGCTCAGTTGAAAAACTAACCATCGTTGAGGATGGCAATGATCAGGACCATGAAAGGTGAGAAATCAAACTTCCAGATCAGAGCAATAAGCATGAAACCAAACTGCAAAAGGAGTAACAAGTTAGGATCAACAAACTTTTATTTCGCCACCCGAATTAATTTACTTTCTTATTCACCACTAACTTTACGACTCGTTTCACCATTAGTCACCGGCCGTTAGTCTCCGTTAGACTCCATTAACTCCTGTAGTATCAGGCCCTTGAGTCCACCAGCTAGCACATGCATCAAATTGCTGAGTTATTGATCCACTCTTTTTATTCTACAATCTGTTAGTGTTTGGTATATGATCCACGATTGAACCTCTCCCAACAACTCGAGTTATTGGGATCAACTGGTTCTTGACATGGTATCAGAGCTAGCAACGATCAGCTAGTCGATCCAATTTCTTTCTCCCGCTTGCGTTTCCTTTCCTGTGTAAAACACTATGTTTTTTTTCTCTCTCTTCTTTCTCTGCTGAAACCATGTCTGGCGAATCTAAAGTTCACGACAGCGCCGTCTCTTCCATTGTTCCAGCCATTGTGACATTCAATCCTGCTGCTCAACTTCCATTGAAGCTGACTCCGTCTAACTTCGCCTCTTGGCGCTCCCAGCTTGAGACGCTGCTCCTCGGTCTGGATCTCTTCGGCTACATCGACGGCTCCACCATCGCACCATAACAGAGAACGGTGTGGCCAAACCCAACCCAACTTTTCAGCTTTGGTTCCGCCAAGACAAGCTGCTACTTCATGCTCTGCGATGCTCGATCTCGGAAGGGATCTATTCTTTTGTTTCGCGCGCTTCTACATCCCGCGCTGCCTGGCTGATTCTGGAGAAGCTTTACGCCAGCAGTGCTCAGTCCCGCATTATTCATCTCAAGGGGAAACTGGCCAAAACCTCCAAGGGAAATCGAGACATCCTGGCCTTCGTCAATGATTTGAAAAGCACGGCGGCAGAGCTTGCTCTCATTGGAGCTCCTATCTCCGATCTTGATTTGATCGTCTACTGCCTTCGAGGCCTGGGCGAAGAATATGGGGCGTTTGCTGCTGCGATTCGTGCTAGAGGACCAGGGCTCGTTCTGGAAGACTTGGTTGACTCCCTAGTCGAATACGAATCTGATCTTAAGGAACAAATTAAGTCCCCTGTTCCTACTGCTTTCTTTTCTCAGGGGCAGCGATTTTCAGGCGGCGGCGGGGGCACTGGGAACCCTTCTTTCGGCCGCCAGCAGCGAGGCTCTCCACGCGGGCCCTCCTCTTCGCGGGCTTATTCACCTCAGGCCCACATTGATTCTCCACGGGCCTCCAGCCCACAGGCCACCCTATTTTCCTCTCCTGGGCAGGCCTCGCCCACCAGCCACAATCAGCGTCGGCCCTCTTCTGTGACCGAGAGGTCTTGTGTTCGATTCTCGGTGACCCCATTTGTTAAGCACATGGTATTCTTGTCTTCAAACCTGTGCAAACTTCAAACTCTTGTGAGTGGCTTTCGTTTGAGGGGGCGTGTTAGTGTTTGGTATATGATCCACGATTGAACCTCTCCCAACAACTCGAGTTATTGGGATCAACTGGTTCTTGACACAATCAAATTGAAGATATAATAGAAAAACAGATTCAGCTAGCCAAACCTAATAATTAATAATAACAGAAATGAAAGGAGCGCCACACATAGAGTAACCCTACTGGTTGCTGTTACTTGAGGATATTCAAGTAAACTTGCTGGAGACTGCTATGTTTGTCTATCCTAAGTAGCTTCCACGCCAAGAATAGTCATTCCTAATATCACTTGCTTTCACCATTATTGCAATGATCCGAATCATTTCAAGTCCCAGACAACTTTCCACCAGGAAATCACCATTAAGTTACCAATCCAACACATAACACTAGAATGGATATTTCTTTATGGACCGCTTGTACCAGGCGGGGACCTCATTCATAACAGTACAAAGTAAAGGCAAAACCACGAACATAAAGTGGGCAGCCAGCAATGAACAAAGAACTACATAGCAATCAATCTTAATTCTAAGCTACTAACAGCAGTTCAACATCACAGCCTATGCAATCAGCCACAATAATTTGGATCTAGGGTCATACGAATGAGATGAAAATATGAAAGCAAAAATGGGAAGGAATTACTCGTAGTCAGCTGGTACAGTACTCCTGTACGATAAGGGGAAGAGAAGGCAAGGCAGACCTCAAACTTGTCAATGGAAACGCCCAGTACAGAGAGGACTCAGTGGAGGCCGGCGCAGCCAGTTCCTGGGAAATGGGTGTCTAGAGCCTTGCTGCATTTGGGTTTCTTGGAAAACGATGTATAAAAAAATATCAGGTTAACTATTGGCTTTTGCCCATGTTCTTCTGTCTAAACAGTTGCTGCAGTTTGGTCTTCGACTTCTCCCCTATTGGCTCATGCCAAGGAGGCCTCCCATATTTGCTGTGCAACTCTTGAAGGTCCTGTGAACTTCAATGGGAATTAATTCTGCTTCCACCATAGCTCCAGTCATCGTCGATATCGCACAAGAACCAGAAACGTCGGATTTTCCGCAAGTTCACAAGATCGTAAGTCTCATCAGTGGCCAAAGAACCCATTATGGAATGGGATGCAGGAATCTTGGCGCCGTTCATAAAACGGAGTCTTTTCGGTGTTGTTTCCCCTGTATTTTGATCCGATCTTCCATGTATTTCTGTGTTTTTTCCGGTACTCGACTGGCAAGTTCAGCGCCAGGTCAATATATCGTACAAAAGTCAAAGTATCGAGTAAATATCGCGATATTTTATTATCTCGCGAAATATCGTCAATTTCAATTTCTCGTCAATTTATCGCGTTTCGATATTGGTTTTGAGGAGCCGAAACGTTTCGCGTTTCGGACGTTTCGGACGCCTGTTTCACCATTCTGTGGGGGTTTCAGGTTTCCCCGTCCTACGGCCGACCTGTCTCTCGAAACGCCGCTACATTTCCAGTTTTTTGGGCCTTCAATGAAATGGAGCACAGGCCATTTGAGCCCTTTGTAAATGGAAAGCCCAACTTTCGAAGCCACACCCCTTCCTCTTCCAAAACGCTGCCGCATTCTTCTTCCTTTGGGGCTTCAATTTATTAAAGAAGCTTTCTCGGCCGTTTCGCGTTTCGCCCGTTTCTCCAATTTACAAGAGTTTCCAGTTTTCGCCGGCCGTAGGCCGACCAGTCTTCCGAAACGGCGCTGCATTTCTTGTTTGTTGGGCCTTCGATTAAATGAAGCAGAGGCCGTTTGGGCCCTCTGTGAAAGGCTAGCCCAACTTTCCCAGGCATACCCCCTTCCTCTTTCCCAAAACGCTGTCGCGTTCTTCTTCCTTTGGGGCTTGAATTAAATAAAGAATCTTTCTCGGCCGTTTCGCATTTCGGCCGTTTCGCCAATTGGGTCGGGTTTCCAGTTTTCGTCGGCCGTGGGCCTGCCTCCCTCGGTAAACGCCGTCGGATTTCCAGTCCTTTGGGCTTTCGATTATATAGAGAAGAATCTTTTTGGGCCTTTGTCAAGCTGAAGCCCATCTGTTCACCGAGGCCTGATTCTAGAATCCTGTGCTTCCCTTTCTCCCATGTTTTCTCCCCCCATGGATTCTCAGCTTCCAAGCTTCAACGAGAGACGGACTGTTTGTTCACAGCAACAGAAGCCATCGTCGTCTCTCTTTTCCGACTGGAACTCCTACGGCCTCGTCCAGAAACGGGGAGGACGAATGCAGCGGATCGTCAGGGCCGTCCCATAATATTCGGAGGCCCTGTTCCAAAATTAAAAATGTGGCCCTAAATTTTTTTCCGTAAAATTTATTAAAAATAAAAATTATTACGCTTAGAAGTTAGAACTACCTTATTCAAATTTTCTAGTTGACATAATTAAAGTTGTTACCAAAAATTAATGATTACACTCAGGCAATAACCACTCGAAAATCAAATAGTACTAATCCAAATTTCCAAGCAAAATCCCTAAAAAAATAAACAAAAATTTGGTTAGAATACATGACCACTCTTCCCAATAACAAATTAGGCAGATTCACTCGCCCAAATGACCAGTCTGCCAAAAACAAAACCCTGCAAAAAAATAAACACAAATTTGGTAAATGGTTACAGTGCAAGCCCATTCGGATTCATTCCAAATTTCAACCTCCAGGCCCATTCGGATTTTGGTCGGCCTGGCGGTTCCATTGCTTCTCCTTCTCCAACTCCATGACTCCAAACTCGCCATTCTCAAGCAGAAGCAGAGTATCAAGGTGGGACGTCGGAGGACCGACTCTCCAGAGTCCAGAGGCAGCACGCTAAACATCAACAAAAGACAAGAGGAATTCTTACGGATTGGCAATTACCGAGCGACGGCGTAAAGACTGAAGTCACCAAGACGCCAAGTCGAAACCAGGGGAAGGCGAGCGGAATAGGGATTGTCGTATTGATTTTGATTTTCGGCTAATCGGCTGCTTCAGGAGGTGATTGATTTCGTAAAGGAATGAAAATGCGAGGAAGAATCTGGGTTGGGCGGTTTTTAAGGAGAAGGAATTAGAGAGTAGAGACGTAAAGCAATAAACATTGATTATGAATTGAAACGTTGGTTTAGTGACGTTGGTATCTTTTGGGAAGGTGAGATTTTTGGGGAAAGGATTAATGATTGATTATTTTGGGAAGGGAAGGGGAGATTAAGAGGCGGAGCAGTGGAGGAGATTTCTGGGGAAATGATTGATGATTTTGGGAAGGGAAGGGGAAGTTAAGAGGCGGAGCAGAGGCCTCTACGTTTCCTAAAAAAAATTATATATGTGTATTAGGTATGGGCTTTGAGGCCCCAAATATTTTGAGGCCCTGTGCTGTGGGTCAGACCAGCACAGGGCCTGGGCCGGGCCTGCGGATCGTCTCTTGGGGGTTCGATCTAGAATCCGCCCACAAAACGTATCGGGGACCTTCACTGTGTGAATGTCTTTCCTGCTAGTTTTCTTATTGTAAATTTGTAATCGTCGACCTGTTCTGATCAAGTTTTGATCTTCTTCCCCCTTTTGCAACTCAATTGGGATTCATTTCAAATTCAGTTAGCTTGGCCGTAAATGTTTCCAGATGAGGGGAAGGGAGGTTGCGTTGGAATCGTGAGACCGAGAGGAACGCCATAGAGTTGGAATTTGCAAGAAAAAAGGTCTCTAAAGAAATTTCATTTTTTCACCAAATAGGCTTGTGGGCTCACGAAAAGTTTGGTTTAAAGTGCAATTTCTCATTGCACCGATGACCAATGAGGGGAAGGGAGGTTGCGTTGGAATCGTGTGACCGTGAGGAACGTCATTGAGTAGGAATTTGCAAGAAAAATGGTCTCTAAAGAAATTTAATTTTTTCACCAAATAGGCTTGTGGGCTCACGAAAAGTTCGGTTTAAAGTGAAATATCTCATTGCACCGATGGTCAATGAGTGGAAGGAAGGTTGCGTTGGAATCGTGTGACCGAGAGGAATGCCATAGAGGTGGACTTTGCAAGGAAAAAGGTTTCTAAAGAAATTTCATTTTTTCACCAAATAGGCTTGTGGGCTCACGAAAAGTTCGGTTTAAAGTGCAATTTCTCATTGCACCGTTGGCCAATGAGGGGAAGGGAGGTTGCGTTGGAATCGTGTGACCGAGAGGAACGCCATAGAGTTGGAATTTGCAAGAAAAAAGGTATCTAAAGAAATTTCATTTTTTCACCAAATAGGCTTGTGGGCTCACGAAAAGTTCGGTTTAAAGTGCAATTTCTCATTGCACCGATGGCCAATGAGGGGAAGGGAGGTTGCGTTGGAATTGTGTGACCGTTAGGAACGCTATAGAGTTGGAATTCGCAAGAAAAAAGCACTCTAAGGAAATTTCATTTTTTCACCAAATAGGCTTGTGGGCTCACGAAAAGTTCGGTTTAAAGTGCAATTTCTCATTGCACCGATGGCCAATGAGGGGAAGGGAGGTTGCGTTGGAATCGTGTGACCAAGAGGAACGCCATAGAGTTGGAATTTGCAAGAAAAAAGGTCTCTAAAGAAATTTCATTTTTTCACCAAATAGACTTGTGGGCTCACGAAAAGTTCGGTTTAAAGTGCAATTTCTCATTGTACCGATGGCTAACGAGGGGAAGGGAGGTTGCGTTGGAATCGTGTGACCGTAAGGAACGCCATAGAGTTGGAATTTTCAAGAAAAAAGGTCTCTAAAGAAATTTCCTTTTTTCACCATATTGGCTTGTGGGCTCACGAAAAGTTCGGTTTATAATGCAATTTCTCATTGCATCGATGGCCAATGAGGGGAAGGGAGGTTGCGTTGGAATCGTGTGACCGAGAGGAACGCCTTAGAGTTGGAATTTGCAAGAAAAAAGGTCTCTAAAGAAATTTCATTTTTTCGCCAAATAGGCTTGTGGGCTCACGAAAAGTTCGGTTTAAATTGCAATTTCTCATTGCACCTTTGGATAACGAGGGGAAGGGTGGTTGCTTTGGAATCGTGTGACCGAGAGGAACGCCACAGAGTTGGAATTTGCAAGAAAAAAAGTCTCTAAAGAAATTTCATTTTTTCACTAAATAGGTTCGTGGGCTCACGAAAAGTTCGGTTGAAAGTGCAATTTCTCATTGCACCGATGGCCAATGAGGGGAAGGGAGGTTGCGTTGGAATCGTGTGACCAAGAGGAACGCCATAGAGTAGGAATTTTCAAGAAAAAATGTCTCTAAAGAAATTTCATTTTTTCACCAAATAGGCTTGTGGGCTCACGAAAAGTTCGGTTTAAAGTGCAATTTCTCATTGCACCGATGGCCAATGAGGGGAAGGGAGGTTGCGTTGGAATCGTGTGACCGTGAGGAACGTCATTGAGTAGGAATTTGCAAGAAAAATGGTCTCTAAAGAAATTTAATTTTTTCACCAAATAGGCTTGTGGGCTCACGAAAAGTTCGGTTTAAAGTGAAATATCTCATTGCACCGATGGTCAATGAGTGGAAGGAAGGTTGCGTTGGAATCGTGTGACCGAGAGGAATGCCATAGAGGTGGACTTTGCAAGGAAAAAGGTTTCTAAAGAAATTTCATTTTTTCACCAAATAGGCTTGTGGGCTCACGAAAAGTTCGGTTTAAAGTGCAATTTCTCATTGCACCGTTGGCCAATGAGGGGAAGGGAGGTTGCGTTGGAATCGTGTGACCGAGAGGAACGCCATAGAGTTGGAATTTGCAAGAAAAAAGGTATCTAAAGAAATTTCATTTTTTCACCAAATAGGCTTGTGGGCTCACGAAAAGTTCGGTTTAAAGTGCAATTTCTCATTGCACCGATGGCCAATGAGGGGAAGGGAGGTTGCGTTGGAATTGTGTGACCGTTAGGAACGCTATAGAGTTGGAATTCGCAAGAAAAAAGCACTCTAAGGAAATTTCATTTTTTCACCAAATAGGCTTGTGGGCTCACGAAAAGTTCGGTTTAAAGTGCAATTTCTCATTGCACCGATGGCCAATGAGGGGAAGGGAGGTTGCGTTGGAATCGTGTGACCAAGAGGAACGCCATAGAGTTGGAATTTGCAAGAAAAAAGGTCTCTAAAGAAATTTCATTTTTTCACCAAATAGACTTGTGGGCTCACGAAAAGTTCGGTTTAAAGTGCAATTTCTCATTGTACCGATGGCTAACGAGGGGAAGGGAGGTTGCGTTGGAATCGTGTGACCGTAAGGAACGCCATAGAGTTGGAATTTTCAAGAAAAAAGGTCTCTAAAGAAATTTCCTTTTTTCACCATATTGGCTTGTGGGCTCACGAAAAGTTCGGTTTATAATGCAATTTCTCATTGCATCGATGGCCAATGAGGGGAAGGGAGGTTGCGTTGGAATCGTGTGACCGAGAGGAACGCCTTAGAGTTGGAATTTGCAAGAAAAAAGGTCTCTAAAGAAATTTCATTTTTTCGCCAAATAGGCTTGTGGGCTCACGAAAAGTTCGGTTTAAATTGCAATTTCTCATTGCACCTTTGGATAACGAGGGGAAGGGTGGTTGCTTTGGAATCGTGTGACCGAGAGGAACGCCACAGAGTTGGAATTTGCAAGAAAAAAAGTCTCTAAAGAAATTTCATTTTTTCACTAAATAGGTTCGTGGGCTCACGAAAAGTTCGGTTGAAAGTGCAATTTCTCATTGCACCGATGGCCAATGAGGGGAAGGGAGGTTGCGTTGGAATCGTGTGACCGAGAGGAACGCCATAGAGTTGGAATTTGCATGAAAAAAATATAAGCCGAAACGTCTCCCGATTGGGTCTCGACTATTGGTAAAGCAGTCATGCTTCCTTCGCCTAAGAGAGAACTTAATTTAGCGGCTCTTTCCAAAAGGAGCTGACAAAATAGCTATTAGACTTAGGAGTTGGGAGGGATTTTTTTGAACATCATTCCATCCGGAAAGAAAGTTACCCTTGAACCGTCCTGGGTCCGCCCATCTCGCCGACTGGTTCGTGTAGAAGAAGTTACACTCCCGAATTAAAAATCTCCCATTGTAGCAGGTCTCTAAAGAAATTTCATTTTTTCACCAAATAGGCTTGTGGGCTCACGAAAAGTTCGGTTTAAAGTGCAATTTCTCATTGCACCGATGGCCAATAAGGGGAAGGGAGGTTGCGTTGGATTCGTGTGACCGTGAGGAATGCCATAAAGTTGGAATTCGCAAGAAAAAATTCTAAAGAAATTTTATTTTTTCACCAAATAGGCTTGTGGGCTCACGAAAAGTTCGGTTGAAAGTGCAATTTCTCATTGCACCGATGGCCAATGAGGGGAAGGGAGGTTGCGTTGGAATCGTGTGACCGAGAGGAACGCCATAGAGTTGGAATTCGCAAGAAAAAAGGTCTCTAAAGAAATTTCATTTTTTTACCAAATAGGCTTGTGGGCTCACGAAAAGTTCGGTTTAAAGTGCAATTTCTCATTGCACAGATGGCCAATGAGGGGAAGGGAGGTTGCGTTGGAATCGTGTGACGGAGAGGAACGCCATAGAGTTGGAATTTGCAAGAAAAAAGGTCTCTAAAGAAATTTCATTTTTTCACCAAATAGGCTTGTGGCTCACGAAAAGTACGGTTTATAATGCAATTTCTCATTGCACCGATGGCCAATGAGGGGAAGGGAGGTTGCGTTGGAATCGTGTGACCGAGAGGAACGCCTTAGAGTTGGAATTTTCAAGAAAAATAGTCTGTAAAGAAATTTCATTTTTTCACCAAATAGTCTTGTGGGCTCACGAAAAGTTCGGTTGAAAGTGCAATTTCTCATTGCACCGATGGCCAATGAGGGGAAGGGAGGTTGCGTTGGAATCGTGTGACCGAGAGGAACGCCATAGAGTTGGAATTTGCAAGAAAAAAGGTCTCTAAAGAAATTTCATTTTTTCACCAAATAGGCTTGTGGGCTCACGAAAAGTTCGGTTTAAAGTGCAATTTCTCATTGCACCGATGGCCAATGAGGGGAAGGGAGGTTGTGTTGGAATCGTGTGACCGTGAGGAACGCCATAGAGTTGGAATTCGCCAGAAAAAAGGTCTTTAAAGAAATTTCAGTTTTTCACCAAATAGGCTCGTGGGCTCACGAAAAGTTCGGTTGAAAGTGCAATTTCTCATTGCACCGATGGCCAATGAGGGGAAGGGAGGTTGCGTTGGAATCGTGTGATCGAGAGGAACGCCATAGAGTTGGAATTTGAAAAAAAAAGGTCTCTAAAGAAATTTCATTTTTTCACCAAATAGGCTTGTGGGCTCACGAAAAGTTCGGTTTAAAATGCAATTTCTCTTTGCACCGATGGCCAATGAGGGGAAGTGAGGTTGCGTTGGAATCGTGTGACGGAGAGGAATGCCATAGAGTTGGAATTTGCAAGAAAAAAGGTCTCTAAAGAAATTTCATTTTTTCACTAAATAGGCTCGTGGCTCACGAAAAGTTCGGTTTATAATGCAATTTCTCATTGCACCGATGGCCAATGAGGGGAAGGGAGGTTGCGTTGGAATCGTGTTACCGAGAGGAACGCCTTAGAGTTGGAATTTTCAAGAAAAAATGTCTGGCAAGAAATTTCATTTTTTCCACCAAAGGGGCTTGTGGGCTCACGAAAAGTTCGGTTTAAAGTGTAATTTCTCATTGCAACGATGGCCAATGAGGGGAAGGGAGGTTGCGTTGGAATCGTGTGACCGAGAAGAACTCCATAGAGTTGGAATTTGCAAGAAAAAGGGTCACTAAAGAAATTTCATTTTTTCACCAAATAGGCTTGTGGGCTCACGAAAAGTTCGGTTGAAAGTGCAATTTCTCATTGCACCGATGGCCAATGAGGGGAAGGGAGGTTGCGTTGGAATCGTGTGATCGAGAGGAACGCCATAGAGTTGGAATTTGAAATAAAAAAGGTCTCTAGAGAAATTTCATTTTTTCACCAAATAGGCTTGTGGGCTCACGAAAAGTTCGGTTTAAAGTGCAATTTCTCATTGCACCGATGGCCAATGAGGGGAAGGGAGGTTGCGTTGGAATCGTGTGACGGAGAGGAACGCCATAGAGTTGGAATTTGCAAGAAAAAAGGTCTCTAAAGAAATTTCATTTTTTCACTAAATAGGCTCGTGGCTCACGAAAAGTTTGGTTTATAATGCAATTTCTCATTGCACCGATGGCCAATGAGGGGAAGGGAGGTTGCGTTGGAATCGTGTGACCGAGAGGAACGCCTTAGAGTTGGAATTTTCAAGAAAAAATGTCTGTAAAGAAATTTCATTTTTTCACCAAATAGGCTTGTGGGTTCACGAAAAGTTCGGTTTAAAGTGCAATTTCTCATTGCAACGATGGCCAATGAGGGGAAGGGAGGTTGCGTTGGAATCGTGTGACCGAGAAGAACGCCATAGAGTTGAAATTTGCAAGAAACAAGGTCACTAAAGAAATTTCATTTTTTCACCAAATAGGCTTGTGGGCTCACGAAAAGTTCGGTTGAAAGTGCAATTTCTCATTGCACCGATGGCCAATGAGGGGAAGGGAGGTTGCGTTGGAATCGTGTGACCGAGAGGAACGCCATAGAGTTGGAATTTTCAAGAAAAAAGGTATCTAAAGAAATTTCATTTTTTCAACAAAAAGGCTTGTGGGCTAACGAAAAGTTCGGTTTAAAGTGCAATTTCTCATTGCACCGATGGCCAATGAGGGGAAGGGAGGTTGCGTTGGAATCGTGTGACGGAGAGGAACGCCATAGAGTTGGAATTTGCAAGAAAAAATGTCTCTAAAGAAATTTCATTTTTTCACCAAATAGGCTCGTGGCTCACGAAAAGTTCGGTTTATAATGCAATTTCTCATTGCACCGATGGCCAATGAGGGGAAGGGAGGTTGCGTTGGAATCGTGTGACCGAGAGGAACTCCTTAGAGTTGGAATTTTCAAGAAAAAATGTCTGTAAAGAAATTTCA